ACGCAATAAATACGGAATCGCAAAATTGAAAGAAATGTAGAAAGTCGAGCAAATTCCTTCAAATACACCGAAAAAAACTCTCGCATCGTTTTTTTTTTTGTTCGTGAACTTTGTTCCGCATCTTTACGCATCTCTAATATATGTAGGTGTCGCGTTAAAGGCGTCGAGATCTCCATGTGTTTTCCCGACCCATACGTACCTAGTCAGCGGGATCGTCGTTAAAGCGAAACAATGGGCATTCGGATTACGTCCATTCATTTATCACGTACTTTCGAGAGCGGGATGGCAGAACATGGGGGAAAAAAAAAAATGGAAAACAGCGTGACCCGCGCTCGGCGGCGAGGTCCGGTAAAAAGAGAGACATTGCCAAGAAATTAATTCCACGGTTAACCGTCTGTGAGCCATTACGCGACCTGCAATTCGCGGGTTTTGCCATCCGGAATAAGTTATCGTCTCGCAAGCCTCGATGACAGTATCGAAAGGTTATCATCTTTTTTTTTCTTTCATAAGAAATTCGCCATTAAAACAATATTCCACTTTATCAATAGTTCGATAGCGAAAACCGAGACATTTGCCATGGTTAATGATACCGTTCCGCGGCATTTGTTCGCTTTTTCTTTCTATCTTTGATCGTAACTTATTTCCCTCAATAAATATAAAAGTCAATGTATCTGTCAGGGAAGATCCCGCTGGCTTCTTTTTCGCGAAGAAACCAGGTTACAGTGTCTTTAATTATAAACCCGAGGAAAACATCAATCTCGCGGTTTCGCCTTGCTCCGCAATATGCGTCTCTCGGCGAGTACTTAATAACGAGGGCCTGCATAGCCGAAAGTGCAGGGCGCGAGTGCGGGACCCTTAAACGTGCCAGTCTTGATAAGCGCCGAATTAGCGACGCCACGTCGGGGATCTCGGCAATTAGTCAGGGGGCACGGACGTGCCAAAAGCCCGGTAAACTCGTGCGACGGCCCTCGCGAACTTCGCGACGACTTCGAACGTAAATCAGCTAGGTTCAGGGGAGGAGAGAACGACGTTCTCCGTTTCGGCGGGACACCCGGTATACGCGTAGCGTACGCGGCGAGTTACTTGCGGGATTAATATCCCCATCTTCTATTTCGTTCGCATTCAACCCTCTTCGAGCAACGCGCGCATACGCTTTACGCGTTGGGATACACATGTATGTGTATATGTATATATATGTCTGTACAATAGAACTCTGGCGTTTATCCTATAGCCCGTAACACTGTTGCTGCGTCGGCAGCACGCCTTCGATTTATGACTTTGTGTATGTTATTTCGACAGTTCTCTCTCTCTCTCTCTGTCCCTTTTTCTACCTATCTGTCTGTCTATCTTCCCCTGTTATTGGCCGATTATTCTCTCTTCGTTTCTTTTTTACTCTCTCCAACCGCTAACTTTTCTCTTCCTTCATATCATTTTCTGCTCGAGTCTATCGTATCTATCATCTGTTCCTTCTCCGTCGCGCACCGTCAGACAGCTGTTTTCTGAAAATCGATGATCGTCCATCGTACGACGGAACTGCTTAAACCGTCTGCATGCAATTTAAGTTGGGATAGATATTTTTTCTTATACTCGCGGAAACTCGGACGCACATTATAGCGACTCGATCAATAAAAAAGATAACATTTTATTTCCCTTTTTTTCATCTATTTCTGAAGACTGAAATTGAAACATAATTCTTTATCAACGAACCAAGTAAAAAATAAATCAGTCGATATTAAACATTTTTTCTCACGCGTAATTTCCTCATATATTTCGTCAAAGTTAATTTGATGATGTAAAGAGATTTGAGAATAATTAATATTTAATATTGAATAAATGTATTCTAGCAATGTTGCTACATACAGAAAATATATAAAAGTATCGAGACGTTGTACATATTTTTTATTCGTTGAAAACTAATCCATAAAGTCCGCGTTGGATTTTACTGTCCTCACAATAGTCAACAATTATTCGCGGCTCTTTCCTTTTATGTGATTACCGGTTAAACTCCGGCAACAAACAGCATCGCTACTCCCGTTCGCGCGCGCACCGTACTAATCCCGAATTCAAGGATGAACGTTGATGCCAGGAATTCCGGAAGTACGGGATTTAGCAGCGTTTCGAGAGTTTCGGCTACGCGAGAACGTTTTGATGCACGTTTAACCGCTACGGCACGCTGGCGGTAGTTAAGTGGTTTAGGACGTTGCAATCTACTGTTGTAACAATTTATAAACTATGTTTCAAATCATGTATTTAAAGCTATTCATCTTAGATTCAAACTTTCGCTTCGTCTGATTGATGCTCATCCATGCAATCGAAAAGGTTAAATCTGTCGATTTCTATGTTAAAGAAAGATATCCATGACTTTGAGACGTTTGAAATGACATTGAAAAGAAATATTGAAATTATAAAAATTATAAGAAAAGAATGAAGAATGGTGATTTAAAAATTTATATTAATCTGAAATAGATCCATCGTATGACTTTTTAGTATTAGTCTATTATTGCTTTAAGTATCATTGTTCCGTAAATACGCTTTATCGGGAACGGTGCATTAATTCTATTATTAATTGAGTCTCAAGTACAGGAACGGCTCAAACTTTCTAAATAGATTACTTTAGTCGGGGTGCCGCATCACTCGGTTTAGGATAAATTTGTTAAAATTGAATTTGCGTGTTAAGCGGTGTAACGCAGAAATCGCTTGTCGCACCGGTTTAATCCTATACGAAGGAAAGGCGAAGTATATGTTATCATAATGAATTCCATAACTCTCCGCGGAATCCCTTATATCCCTCACATGGCTTCTCTAAATTCACACGTGTCGGGCCAAAGCTTTGCGTATTTACTTTGCTGCACTAAACGTAATGTATGTATGTATACGCAATTATTTGCCGATTTTAAACTACATTCATATATACATCTGTTGAGTCATGCTGTATAAATAAAAATGATCGCAACAGTTATTCGGTTCTTGAATAAAAGAAAATATACGATGGTACTTTTCATCTCATCTATCGTTCCATATAGGAAGTGTAAGAGGATATTCGTTCGGAGCTGCTTCTGTTAAAACAACACTCTCAAGTACTCGATACTAGGAAAGGATATCGGTATCGATATTGGCTTCGGGCTGCCAATCCCAATGCCATTAAAACGAGCGAAGAAAAGAGGTATTCGTGATCACTGCGATTTATTAGCTTTAACACAAACGCAGGTCTTATGCTAAAATCGTTGCAGAAAATGTGTTTCGATTTTTTCAATACAATTCTATAATATCAGTAAAATATATTTCTTTTATTTTTCACTTTATAAGTTTTTGAAAAAAGTTTTTTTTTTAATTTAAAAAATATGAGACGTTTAAAATTTAATGCGATCTCATTATCAATAAATTTGCTAAAAGAAATAGAGAAAATTACTTTCATTTATTCATTTTATCCTTTACTCGTAAGACACACAGACATACATACATATCTTGTCATCTTTTCAATCAGACAAACTCATCCTTCAATTAGACGAGACGTATAATTCCTTTCACGTTAAATGCAAGTAAAGTGGAGGTGTAAGCACGATGCAATACGCATTATTGACAAGATACTCGCTCGATTTCCCGATCACGTAAAAGAGGACCGCTTAATTTCTCGCAGAAAGGAGGCTAAGAGGTTTCCTTCGCTTCTCAAGTGCCATAGGTATCC